AATATTCTGATTGTACAATGAGAAAAAAAAAGAAAGGAGAGTAAGAGAGAAAAAGAAAGAATCAATCTTGTTGAACCTGCCCTGTATGTATGTGTGTGTGTGTACATGCAATGACTTAGACAAAGGAAGGGAGGAGGTTATGTGTGCAGATGTACAAACAATACACGACTCGTGAATTGTATCTGCCTGACGAAGGAATGAACATAAAGCAGGAAATGTATGATGTATAGAGAAAAATGCTGGTGTGTGTGTCAGGTTAGATCAACGTTATATAATTAGAAAGAAAAAGAAGTTCCCTCTTTCTTTCCCTTGGTTTTTTTTTCTCTTCTGACATATATATTTTTTTTTTCTTGTCCATAACTCGACAATCGAGAAAGAAGATTGTTCTTTCACATAAAGAAAAGAAAAGAATGAAGATGAACATCATATCTTGATTCTATATGGGTAAGTAAATGGGATCAATCGACTTAGCTTATTTTCATTCTTTTTCTCTTATTCATGGCAAAAAAAAATGTCTCGCATAGACAAATTGTTTCAATGATTATGATAACTTGATACTCAAGCATATATGTAAATCCGTTTTGATACGAGACGGATGTCCTTCTTTTTTAAATATAGAATTCACATATAAACTATAGGCGTCGACTATTTCCTTTAACATATGCATGTTGATCAATGTCTATGTTTTCTAGATAGACAATATGTTCAATTCACCAATATTATCTCGTAGCAATAAACAACAACAACAACAACAACAACAATCTTCTCTTAATATGTTGACTACAAAACATATTATTGATGAAAAATCAAAAACAATTGAACAATTAAAAATGATTATTGATGAATTAAAATTACGACATGAACGAAAAGAACGTGAATTACTTAAACGTATTGGAATATTATATAATGATTTACAACAAAATAAGAAGAAAATGGCTCATCTTATTTATAAACATCAACAACAAAAAAAGGTAAAATAATTTAGTTATTGTTTTTTTTTTTTTGTCTTCAATTCAAAATCATATTTATTCAATATAGATATACAAATAAAAATAAACAAGATATTTTAAAAGGATTAATTGACTATATCCTTGGGGATTCAATTGTAGTTTAAGTTTAATCTATTTTGTTTATTTAACATAAGTCGGATTTAGAAAAAGAAATACGTAAATGATTCAGTGTTTTTTTTTTTATTCGACAAAATAAAAACAAAAAAAAAAAGTCTATCATTTCTTTCCACATCAATTATTTCATTATGGTTCATTTAAATAAACTTTCTTAGTTAGAACTTCTGTTTTACAGACATTCAAACGTCAATCATCATATAAAAAACCACATGTTTGTGTATTTGTTCACTTTGAAATAATAATCAGATCAACGTTTTCTTGCCGTTTTACTTCTGAAAAGACACATGGCCTATCTAAAATGTTGTCTATAACTCAATTATGAACAATTGAACCGTTCATTTCTGTTCTTATTCTAACATGATAGTGTTATGTAAATTGATCAATCATACAAAAGGGAAAGAAGGCGATAGAACTCTGGTAGAATAAGAGCTGGTTTCGATCAAAAAAATTAAGTGATAATTACATGACAAGAAGAAACAAAAAACAAAAGGTTTTAACACCTGATTCGATTGTAATCTGTTTTTTTCTTCTTCTATACATATAATCATTCTTTTTTTGTCTACTAGATCTAATGTCTCTATATGTTTGCTTGTTTTCTTTTGTCAATGGGTGATGATAATAGTGAATATTGAAGGATAGATCAGATCAATATTTATTCATTCGTACTCATATTCATTAATGATTTATAGACATATAGAATAAGATTTTATAGTGCTATAGTGTTTCATAGATATAATCAAATGATTAATCTCTTTTCTATCACGGTGAGAACAATATCAACAATTGTCCTTCAATAGAACGAGACGAGTGTTTAAGTTCGACTACTTGACCGTAGTTTTTCTCGAGAAGATGCTTGTTAAAAACGAAAGGAGAAGAAAACAATATCAAAATCATAGAAGCTACTGTTTCTTCTTTCTTTTTATTTTATTTTATTAGATTTTTCTTTGTATGTCTGTCTGGTATATATGATGAAGGATCATATAAAAGACACCTTCAGGCGGCCAGACAATCGCTACTAAACTAAAACAAAGACAGACGACGTTATTTTCTCTTTGGGCTTCTTTGATGGATTAAAGTAGTAGAAGTGCTAGAATATGATTACGTGAATAGCATTACTAGAGAAACTTTACAAGAGTGTCTCGAGGCATTCCTTTATAAATGTCATATGATTTTATAATCAGATTGAATATACCTTTTTTTTTTTATTATTTTATAGACTAATAATGATACAAAATCCTTACAAGATTTTTCAACTCAAACAGATGAAAATAATTTATCATTAATATGTATAAATTGTTCAACTCAATTATTAGATACATCTCAATGCAATGTAATCAAAAAAAAATTCTTTTGTTTTATGAAGACAAATAGTTCTTATCTTATATTTTTTAATAGGATGAACATATTACTCAACTTCTTAGTCAATTAAAATTACATTCACAAAATAAAATTCAAGAACAGGTTTTTATTGAATATAATTGAAAATATTTTCATATATTTTCAATTGTAATTTTTTTTTTCTTCTTTTTAGCAACCAAAATATTATACATTACAACCAGAAGAAGATATTGAATATATATCTACAACATCTCAACCAAATTTGAATCAATCATTATCATCACCTGCTCTATCGACAACCGATCGATCATCAACAAGATCATCTTGTTCTCATCATCATTGTTCAATATCAACAACAAAACATAATGAAAGTAGTTCAAGTGCATATAATACAGCTGAAAGTTTACCAAGTAGTACATATTCCGATGAAATTGAATCACTTGAACGTGTTTTAAATGCTGCTTCAACAATGTATACAACACATGATAATCTTCAACATACAATTAAATTACAAGAAGAATTATTTCGACAACATTTACGTTTACGTGGTATAACTATTGATGAAAATCATAATGAAGATAATGAATCATCATCAAGTGAACATTTATATGATAATATTGATGATGAAACAAGTGATATTGAAAAACAATCAAAAATATATAAAAATCGTTTAATACAATATCGTCAAAAAAAATCAAAACAAAATATTATTTTAAGTACAGATGATGATGAACAACAAGAAAAAATTAAAATATTAAAACAAACTAAAGTACGATTTATTGATCAATATCATCAAATTGGTAAACGTAGAAATTTAAAATCAACATCAAAAACAAATCTTATTAAATCAACAAATACTAAACGATATCATTCAAATCCTATTCATAAAAATTTACCATTATCATCAAATATGTTAACTGTAACTATTACTTAATATTTTGCTGTTCTCTTTTTTTTTCTTCGATGTATTGTGAAAACCTTATCCCTTTTGTTTTTCTTTTTTGAATGTCCATTGAAAAAATAACTATTTAAATATATATATATATATATACGTATTGTTTTACATATTATCTTTTCTCAGGCAAACTATGAATGAAAAGAATAATATCGGAAATGTTTGATCATAAAATGAAGGCCTTTTTTTTCTGTAAATGTAGATAATAGAAGATCAATCAAAAATTGATTGATTTGCTAATATGCATTCTATATTGTTACTTCCTTTGTTAAAAAGTCCTTCGAGGAGTTTATATGGAACAACCTTGTCGTTTCTTAGTTTTTTCATATGTTATTCATGAAAAAAATTTATGACATGATTTTGTGATTTATATTAAATAAGAAGTTTTTGAAGATATTTGCAATTACAAATGACATTCATTATGTGATCTATCAAGAACTCTTAATAATTCGAAAAAGTGTAATTTATAACTCAACTATAATTTTATTTATATTTGAGCTAAAATCAGTTTTTTTTTGTTGTTGTCTAATTCCATTTTGACATGCAAAATGTACGAACAATATTTTAGTTTTGATTTTAAGAACGTTTCTTATATATGAATGCTTGAATAATTATAAAGTGCATGAGAAAAATTTTCAAATGTACTTATTTAGTTATATCTAGAAGTATCTAATAATAATCTAAGTAAAGATATTTCTTTCTTTCTTTCTTCTCTTTTCCTAGTAAAATTTCTCATATTCAATTCATATCTTCCTGATTGAGACATTCAATAGTACTTAATAAATGTTTCGTAATAAAGTTATAAAACAATTGATTAATCACTCAAGTACTACATTAGACATACAATTATTAAATAATCAATTGTTGAAACTTCATTTTTGGAAGATATATTTCTCATGAATGTTCTTTAATGCAGACACATTTCATATAATATATTCATATTAATAGTCAAATAGACCTTGAAAATAATCAATATCAAGGATATCAATATTTTTCATTAAGCATGGAAGAAAAAAAAAAGATCGCATGCTTTTTTTTTTATTCTATTAATTTAATTATGTTAGTATACATCAAATCTTCTCCTCGAATGTTCCTGCAACACATTGAATGAGAAGGAAAGAAAAAATCATAATTAATTTTGATTATTTCGGAAAATGATAGTCACACTATTATTTACTCTACTGATTATAAACATATGATATATCTATCTTTTAAAAATATAGATGATTCAATTTTAATTAATATAAAATAAATGTGTATATCTAAATCATATTGCATGAATAGACAAGTATGTGGTCTAATAAATTCGAGAATCAATCTGTTTTTATTATCAAGGGTACATGGGAAAGAATGAATAGACAAAGAGGGCAGAGAAAAACAAGTAACGAAGAATGGTGCATATGTATATATTATAAAGATGCAAATCAATTGATATGAAGTTTGTTGTTTATTCATTTTTGTCGTATCTCATCGATCGAACATATACGTCTTTTTTTCATTATTGATACCAAGTGCATCATACACACTGAATATTCATGGCTATTTTATTTCAAATAACGTGCCTTCTACTTCTCTTAAGTATGACTTATACTTGGAAAATTCCATCGTTTTCTGATGAATCTTTTCCATCTCCATATGTTAATGATCATTTTGATAATAATTTATCGTCATCATCAATATATGATGGTTTTAATAAAATGATGGCAACAGTGCGTCAACATTTTCAACAAATGTCTGCTTTATCATTATCGTTAGCTAAAGGTTATACTGCTGATTTGATGGAAGTTAAAAAGAAATTAGATACTGTTGTACCTGCCTGTACAACAACAACAACAAATTTACTACCAACAAGATCAATAAAAAACAATAGACGAAAATCTCTTCGTACTACACAAACAACAACATGTGTTAAGAAATCGATTATTGATGGAGAAAAATATATATATAAGGAAATAACAGTCACTAATGATAAAGGTAAAGTAATCTCACAAATCAACAAATATGAATCAATTTCAATCAATACAATTAATGATACTACACCTTCAAATGTAAACGAATAAAAAGAAAATGCTATTCTACATTAAGTTCTAAATAATGTAGTTAATATTTACTTTTTTTCCTAAATAAAATCATTTGTTTCTTTTTCAAAAAATTTATTCTTAATGATATGTAGACGTTTCAAATAGGAAGAAAACTTACAAGAATTCTTATGAATAATATTGTATTGATTTATTTTTGAATATAATACATATCACTGCATAACGAACAAAAAAATAATTTTTATTGTAAAATCTGTTACCATCAATGATTGCAAGAAAAACTTTCTATTGAATATTAATATTCATACTGTTCTGCATTCTAGAATATAAAACTTTTATTTGATGAAAATTGTTTATATGGAATCGAATATCAGTATATATGATTATTTTCGACATTTGCATTGCGTTTTCGAAAAATACTTGGTTAATATAATAATAAACGATACAAATATATTCAAGATTTTAGTTATTTTTATTTTTACTGTATGAAGTACGGTATAGTAACCGTTCGCGAGTTTTCTTACTTTCGCGATGCATAACTTGCAAGCGTATTTTGTGTTGCAATGATCTAAAGATGGAAGAGTCATATGATTTTCGTTCAAAGGTTGTTACAAAGTTCCATGTTTCTGTATTATTAATGGTTTTTTCGAAACTTCGATACGAAGTTATGTTGTTATCAATTCGCTCGACAAAATGGCGATTTTGAATTGAGAAGTCTGTCTTCTTTCGAGATAATGAAGATGAGTTTCAGTAGCAATAGCGATTAGATCGAATATTGTTGTCATCTTTCGAAGCATTCGTTCTATGGAAGATCGCTAATTGAAATTTAAACCATATTCGTCAATTCCGTATTTTAAACAAAATTTTAATCGCTATGACTGTACATTAATATAATTGATTTAATTTACTTTCTGATTGATAAATGTTGTTAAGCATTGTTAGAAGGTCCACAGGACTAGTTAAACATATGTCTATTTTCCATTGATTAGATGAAAATCACTTCATGATTCTTTGTTTTCAAAGAGAGTTTAAGAGTTGATCGTATGTGATTGATTGTTAGTGCATTTTTTCCACTTTTGTAAACTTGCAATATCTTTATGTTATCGTCAGTAAGAAGATAAATTCAATCCAATGAAACTATATTCACTGTTCAATCATAATTCATGATTTCTGTTCATATGACGATACACCAGACTCTGATTTCTTGGTTAAAGCAGCTTCTGAACTTTTTAAAAGTAGATAAATGACAAACTTATCTTCTCGGAGTGCCACATATAGCAACAATCGTTCAGAAATTCTCATGGAGAATTATGCACGTGAAGTTAGCAACAGATTCGAGTTTTTCGGGGGAATATTCGTAAATCGACTTGTGCCAAAAAATATAATGATTATACCAAATAAAGCATCGAATATGCTGTCAAATGCCTAGCTTTCCAAAGAATTTTTATTGTCAGAAATGGTTGAAAAATTCAAAAAACTAGTTTTAAAATACTGATTTTAGTGGAAAAATCAGTATTTCGACCTAATGTTCGTTTTGAGATGTGTGTCAGTCGAGAAAGCACTTGTGTCATATAGACCTTGGCGAGTTCTATCAATTGGTATTAAATTCACCGATGTTCATCATCACCGGCGGGTCCTCACAGGAAAAAACGTTGTTATACAAGTGTTTAGAACGCATATTATGACTTACCATTCGCTCTAAGAAATGTTTGTGTTAAGAAAGAATTTGTGCTTGATAGAGCTCGATGAGACTGATGGATTCGTCTTCGATTTAGTCATTTTCGTTACAAAGATTGGTCTCGATTTGAGGCATCAAGTAGTAGGATAGGGTATTAGAACTCATATTATGAGTAAATATTAGTTCTAAGAGTTGTATCAAGGAACAAAATAGTTCAGACAGATAGAACCAAATACGACCTACCCAATGATATCAAGTTGAATCCTACTGATCGGCAGGAGTTTTCTGTATTTCGCGGTCGGAACAGTTTCGGGATTTTTGACTTGCCCGAAAGATTGTTCTGATCCTTATACGGCGGTGTCCGAGTGATTGATGTCTAGATAATTATCGTAGATGCAATTTCGGATTACCTACTGGAAGATACCATTTTCCTTGGAAGTCCTCTAAGCAACTAGTAAACATGTGTGGATAATACCTTTTTACTTAGGCCATAAAAAATTTCGTCAGGTAAACTGGGATCCGTTAAATGTTACTACTGTAATTGTCAATTTTGATAGTTACAATGGTGGTTTAGGTGTGCTAGAGAGCACTCTCGCATTGTGAATCCATATTCTTTGTGTATTCTTGTATATGTATATGCTTATGTGTATGTGCTCGGATATCTGAGTTTGTGCGCAAATCTTTGTCTCCCTTTCTTCGCTGGTCTCTTCTTAGGTTTTTATTTATGAACTTTCCATCTCATCATCTGATACTTATCTACGTCAATCATTTTCTTTGTCCATCTGAATGGTTGAAATTCTAGCCTTCTTTCCTGTCTAATTTTTCTCTTGTATTGTGTGGTTAAAATAGAAGATGCATGATAACTTTTTTGTTTGATCGCTACCTGATTATATGTAAGCTCAGAACGTTTTCTTCGCTTGTCTTTTTCGTCTCTTTGTATTTCTTCTCTCTGCTTGTTTTACGGTCTGTTTGCATGATCTGTAAAAGCGGATGAATTTTAGTAAATAACTGCTGAAATTAGTATGGAAATGAATCCTGTATTAGTTGACCATATACCTGGAGATTGGCCTCTGTAGCACTGTCAATAGCTATCTGTTCGACGATAAGGATTTCAGAAACAGCTACCACAATTTCTTCTAATTAGCTTCTTTGTTGTTTTTTCAAAATTATCTTTTCCGTTTGTTGGGGGACTTGCGAAATTTCGTTTTACTTCGTGGACAATCAAGCGAATTTATTCTCTTGCGGTTCGATGAAGGTCTCGCCAAGTTCCTCTTACGTTTTTCGGTGCTAGTAGAAGTTCCCTTTTCTGATTAACGATATTGCCATCAATTTCTTGTTTCAGTTCCATCGCACATGTGCCAAGTTCGCTTTTTAGTTGGCTGCCGGTTCTGCCTTTCAAGTTTCACTTCACAGAGATCCGTATCACTCCCCGATGTTTTCCCAACTTGAATTATCATTAGAAGGCGACTCGAAATTTAGTACTTTACATGTCATCCTGATGTATCACTCGGTCATCGAAATCATTCTTCCCATCACCTGAAACACAATTCAACTATCCATCGGACCAACTCATTCATAAACTTCATAAAGATCGGTGTGTGAATCGAGAAATGGATTTCGACTAGAAAAGATTAAACAATCTTAATGTGGCTAAAAAATCACGATATACAGATTTTTCTCAGCTCATGATAGGATTGAAAATGATATTGCTCAAAAGATTTCATTCAGTTCTATCCTAAAACCAACTACTTCTTCAGTTACATCATCTCAGAAAGCAGATATTTGACCGTAATATGAGCCTAAATAATCTATCCTACAAGTCATTGGCCAAGCCATGGTCGATCCTCATGATCAGAATTAGCGAAATCTAATATTAATCAAAAGATATCATTGAAATCTATCTGACACAAATGATTTCCAAACTAGCATAACTTTTAAATTAAGTATTTGGTCACAATAGGGATCCCACGCTCCTGTATTACTACTTGTTGTCCTGCTAGAACCCAGCCTTGATGATGAACATGGATCATTACAATACCGTTCGATAGAGCTCGACAAGTTCTATATGGCACAAGTGTTTTCTCAACTGACACACATCTTAAAACGGATGTTAGGCTGAAATATTGATTTTTCCACTGAAATCAGTGTTTCAAAACTAGTTTTTTGAATTTTTCAACCATTCTTGACGATAGAAATTTTTTGAAAGCTAAATATTTCACAGCATATCCGATGCTTTGTCTAGAACAACCATTATCTTTTTTTGGCACAAGTCGATTTTCGAATATTTTCCCAAAAAACTCGAATCTGCTGCTAACTTTACTTGCGTTGACGAATTGTTATATATGGTATGATCTATTAAGAGTCTTTTAAAGCGTTTTCATCACAGTTTTTTTGAAAATATTAGATACGATTTTGCCTAGTCAAAATTAGCTCTGTGCATAACTGAGATTAAAGAAAAAATTGATATGGAGGCTTTGGCATTCTTCATCACATTTTTTAATTACTTTAGTATTAAATGAAAAAATCATTTTGAGTTTGTTTGAATATAGATGTAGAAGGTGAGTTTGGAATCTAGTTGAGATTGAAATTCCTACTTTTGATTTTGCAAAAGAAGATATTTTTTTATAAAGATATAAGTCCATTTGTTTATTCAAAACTTAAAGTTTTTTTAGTTTATTTAATGACAAAGATATAAGATGCTTAGTATTTTTTCGATGATGGAAACATGAGGACATTAATGAGTGGTGAAATTTTATCATGAGTCATTTTTTTTATGATGAATTTGTATGTTTTTTTCGATGATGGGGATATGAGGACATTAATGAGTGATGAAATTTTATCATGAGTCATTTTCTTTTTCTATGATGAATTTGTATTGTTTTTCGATGAGGGAGACATGGGAACTTTAATGATTGGTTAAATTTTATTATGAGTCAATAATTTTATCTACAGTATCTGTATGCCCTGTTTTGATGAAAATGGATTGAGGTAGGGTGATTGTCTAAAAGACTTGAATGTTTCTCGAGCAAAGGATGAAAATGGGTTCACATGAAGTAACTGTCTAAAAGAATCGAACGTCTCTCGGGCAAGCGATGAAAATTGATTGAGAGGTATTTCTTCAGAATACGCACACCCCTTCACCCCCATCAATTGTCGTGCCAACCGATGTGTGCATATGATATGTATTCTGAAGAAGAACCGATTGAAATGGGGTGACTGTCTAAAAGAAATCAAATTTTCTACGACATGCTCTAGCTTGTTTGATAAACATAGTATATGTCTTCGTATAAAAGAACAGGTTTTACTTCTTTAAAATCGCATAAAAGTTGATGACCAGCGATAAGACGAAGCGTGAACGTTTGTTTGCATCAGTGAGAAAAACAACCGGAAACCTTTTCAGCAGATAGCTTGCTCTGAACTTCATCGATTATTTTTTTGCTTTGAATACAAGTGATAACAGCTTTATTACGAAATTTAGGATTTAACACATCAATATGTTTTTTAGCAAGTTCATAAAATTTTTCACGTGCAAAATCATCGATAATAGGATGAAAATAAGTAGATTGTTTTAATGTCATTGTTGATATTGCAAAAGAAAATGTCGAAAGCTATTTAATACTCAATGAACTTTGTTTATGAAAATCAAAGAAATTGGTAGTTCGATGATATAAAATAATCACAAACAGAGAACAAATTGTACCTAGTCAAAATTGAATTTGATAGAAGCACCAAAAAAAAACAATTTTGCCTGAAATTCAAATTTGTCTGTGACGTTTATATTATTTTTTTCGTGCTTCTCTCTTGAAATTCTATGTCTTTAAAGATATTTTAGATCTTTATTTTTCGATTTATCTTATTATCATATTAATTCACCACCAATTCTTGATTCCTTCGATACAATAAATGTGTGGAAAAAAACAATCAACATTAATAGGAAAGAAAAGCTAAAAGAATCTTTTGTCCAGGTGCATAACTACAATAAATAAAAATATTTCTACTCCATCAATGTTGTGCAACGATTAACATTACAAAAAATAATCATTCAACCATGACTAACAAAACAATGGACGAAACAAATTTGTTAATATCCTTTGTCAATACAATACAAGCGTCTATTTTCTTCTCAATAAACGTGTTTAACATTAATCTAACTAATCATCATTGTAAATTGTCAAGCCGCTGATTGATTTTCATTTAATACTTGCATAACAATGTTTACATGTTATCATTCATATATTAACATGAACGATTTTGCTCAAATATCTTCAAGTATAACTTGATGATTCAACATCAGTTAAATCACAAATATCTAATTAAGAAGTAAAATTGAAACGATAAACAAACAAGATCTTCATTTCCTTTAACCAGATGATGTTCCATTAACATCTATTTTTTTTTGATCTTGGACGATTAGTTAAGCCATATATAGTTCTATCTTTAACTTCTTTTCACATCAAATATAAGTATTTGAATATAAGATTTTTAATCATTTTATATTCGATTGAAAAGTTCTATGAGTTTTCATATATTATAGTTGAACAAATAAATGAAGACTATTTTCATGACAGAATTCAAATAATGATATCCAATATGGAATAATATTCATTTAAATAAATAAGAAAATAAATCTTTTATAAACTTCATTTTATCTTCAAGAAATAGACCTTCCAAGGTGTTTTTTTTGTTAAACTATATATAATTCATGAATTCAATACTAGAAAAAATAAAAGAGTATTATATAATTCGTCCGACAAAGACAATTACCTTGCCATCTTTAAAAATATAATCTCGTACAACTAATTATTTTCATATTAAGACGACATTCAATTGTTGATATTCTATTCTCAAGGTGAACAGATTTAAGTAAAATTTTATCATTAATAGTTTAATCAACTTTAAGAAAGTGACGAAAATATTTTTTTTGTCAATTATACTTGATTCATCAGCTGTATCAAGTATTGACATAACATTATTTATCAAACTAAGTGTAAAAAAAAAGATAGTTAGGATTAGTAAAAATTTTATTTGTTGATTGATCGACAATATGTTCGAATAATTCTTCAGTATAACAATGATAAATATTTGAGTGATCTTTAAAATTAATTGAAATTAATGTTTATGATAAAAATAAAACGGTGAATTGACTGACTAGTTAATGCAGTTGTTTGCAAGCTTTTCCTTTTCTTTCCTTCCTTCTCGACGTAAGTATCAAAAGTTTTCATTTCTATCGCGATAATCACAGGAAGCAAAAGTCAGAAGATACTTGTTAGAACATAAAAATGAAATCTTATGATCGAATCGATAGCATCTGTTCTTTGATCTTTAATATGATGTCCCATTTTCTTACAGAAAGTTATCCAAAAAGGTAAATTTTTTTAGACTTCGTTTTTTTTTCAAGATTTGAGGTTATTAAAACGAAGACAAGAACAAAAGTTAGCTGCCATTCTCTTTGCTTATAGTTAAGCATGTTCTCTTAGTAATGAATTTCGTAATGACTACTTTACAGTTTTTTTCTGATTTCGGTCATCTGATTAATCGAAGCGTAACTTTTTTGATTTATACTGAGAATAAAAGAAGCTCTAATTTCAGTATAGCGTGTTTATTTTTTGGAGAAAAAGATTTCATACGCAATCGTCCAAACGATTAATTGTTTTTTAGAAAATATTGATTCATTAGTCATTCGACATTGGAAACTTCACACTACATTTTGCAGTCAAGTGAAACTTGAATACCATCTAGTTTTTTTTTTGTTTTCGATCTTCAAATTGTTTCACCTGTAATAAGAAATGGATTTCTATTTTTTGTTTTTAGATATAATGTTTTCAAGAAAGTAAATTTCGTTCATGAATTCATAGAGATTCTCTGAGAATATTGTTCTCCATTGTTTACAATTTATTACGTAATCAGTAGTATGCTACGTGTCTTTTCTGCAAATGACAAGAAGAGCATTAGTCTAGTTAAGAGTTTGCTTGATGTGAATGTGTAACGTTCATGAACTCATGTCAATTCTATAGTAATGAATATCTGATTATTCAAGAGAGTTTGGTGCAAACACTGTGATAATCTTGTTTTTTTTTTGTTCTCTCCTTCTCTCTCTCTCTGTATCAGTTGTGATAGAATAGATTTATAATATGTTGTAGTTGCAGTATTGAATAAAAATTATATGATAGCACTCTCTTCCCACAATAATAGAGAATCTCAATTATATCTAACTGTACAAATGTTCTATTCGATTCTTCATTCTTTAATTATTCATAAACCATTTTAGCTTCAATAATTATTCGTTATCAATTTAGAATCCTGAAAACTAGACATATTTCCGATTAAATATGCGAGTTAAAATTTCAATTTCTTAAATATTTGAATAATTAAGGGACGATGTACTATTATGTTTCAGATATTGTTTCATCTAGTTAGCCGTAATGTCGAAGACTTATTTATAATATTGTCATAATCGAAATCGTAAATAATATAATCAATTGACTTGTAATATCTCAAAATTTTCAAGACTCACTATTAACTGAAATAGATTCGAAACGAGTCCTCATAATAATATTGAGCATGATTCATAAATGATTTTGTATGAAAAATTCTATCAAAAAAAAGAATACAATGTCATCTGAGAACAAATCATATGTTACTATTTGTTTTTACTATTTATAATACATATATTTGTATAAGTAGAAGAATGAAGCAAATAAGTCAAGGATTAATAGTCGAAAGTCGATTGATGTATATTGTCTGTATTTATAACAAAAAAAAAATACAACGAAGAAACAAATAAGAACAGTAATCTGTCATATTGATCATTCACATTAGATGAGAAACCGTCGAAGACAAATTACAATTATTCATTAGTAAGTGATTGTTTTCTTATTTGAATACAATACACTCAACAATAAACTTAATTACAAAAGAATGATCATTACATATGAATAAAATAAACCCCTCAGCACAGAAATTCATTTGACTTCAATGCGCTAAAGCATATTGGAATATTTATCAAAATCAAAATTAAAAGAAAACAGAATATTATGAAAACAAATGCTAAACTTTTATGATAATTTACTACGTTTGTTTCACTATATTTTAATTACTTACAGTAGAAATAATCATATATAAACTACTCTCTAAATTAAGTTTTAATTGAACAAAATATAGTTGTTTCAGAAATAATACTGATGATATTATATTTTCTTTTGTTTTTCGTATTTTTGGAAGATAATCTATAATTACATAATGTCGTATTTGTATGTAATCTATTTATAAAAAAGTTACTATATTTTGTACATAAAGTGCAAGGATGAATAAAACACATATTCTTTTTGAATGTTGTAAAAAGGTAAGGATAACACATCACTATGTACTTATCTTAATGAATGGCTTAGTGGTGTAAAAGAATATCTATCAAAGTGTAACGTAGTAGATAGGTTTTTTTTTACATAGCAAACATAATTTATGGAACCAACAAAACGATAACTTCGTTTCAGTAAAAGTTTTAACTTAAAATTAGTTTTACGAAAAAAATTAGGTTGATTATCATTGATTATTTAGTTATCTTTTCTCAAATATAAAATATATATATGTCATCATGTGTATAGTTTATATAGATAACTATAGAGCGAACTTTATGGAAGAAATTATTTTCATACTTATTTTAATCTGATATTTTATTTTTGATAGATTGACAAAGATGTGTCCTTGATAATAATTGATAATTACATCAGCGATGGTTTATACTGTGAAGTCGTAGTACTCTTAGGCCGTCCTTGGTTGACCTTAAGTCACATATTCTTAGGCTAAAAGTAAATATGTTGTCAACGAAAACAAAATATCTTTCTTTTCTTTTGTTACTTGAATGATAACTTTTTCCATTCATTCGATTGTTATATAAGCTATTCTTATAAATTACATTTAAACCAGTTTTTTTTTTCGTTTACAGAAATAGTAGTCCTTATCATGACGTCGACAAGGAAGCAACAGGCTAGAGAGGCCGAAGTTGCTATAAATATGAGACAATCAAATAAATCTCGTGTCAATCAAACATCTAATGTGAGAGTATTCTAAAGAGTTGTTTAGTTTTTTGATTAAAAATTTTCTTTCTAGTTACCAGAACCATCACTATCTTACAATAAACATTCCAATGATTATGAATTCATTAAAGAACGTCCGTTAAAAAAATTAAGATCGCAAAAGAACACTAATGACGATTTTGTTAAACCTGAATTACCGGAATTCTTACAAAATATGGGTCCTGGTCTATCACCATTGAAAGAAAATCCACCGGTTACATTATCGTGGCATGATGTTCGAGCAATAACACCTGTTAAACAAAATTTTATTACAAAAAAAATTAATGAATGTTTAGGTAAAGAAGCTAAAAGACCTAAAGAGTTATTAAAAGGAGTTAGTGGTATTATCAAATCGGGTGAGATGTGTGCCATTATGGGAGCTAGGTATAAAAAATTTCAATAGAAAAAAACAATTGACTATAGTATGAAGATCAATTTTTTTCTTTTCTTTTATTCAATTAGTGGTGCTGGTAAAACAACTTTAATGAATATATTGACTCATCGTCGACCAGGTAAATTACATATTAGTGCTGATGTTCGAATAAATGGTCAAAAAATGAAAAGAGATATATCCGGTGTATCAGGTTTTGTTCAACAAGAAGAATTATTTGTTGGTTCATTAACTATTCAAGAACATCTTCAATTTCATGTATGTATTTATTTGAATAAAATTAATATTTCATATTTAATAAATTATTCTTTTTCATAGTCAATGCTTCGTCTTGGAAAAGAATATACACAAGATGAACGAATTAATCGTGTTGATGAAGTTATTGAATTTGTATGGAATAACTATTGACTATTATTTCAATATTTTTCTAAATTCTTGAATTCTAGCTTAATTTAACTAAAGTTAAAAATACAACTATTGGTATTCCAGGTGTTGTTAAAAGTTTATCTGGTGGTGAAAAACGTCGTGTAACATTTGCTACTGAAGTTAGTCAAAACTTTTCATATTCATACAAAAAAAGAAAAAAGAAAACTATATGAATTATTTCTTATAGATACTTAGTGATCCTCCATTACTTTTTTGTGATGAACCAACATCTGGTTTAGATTCATCTATGGCATTTATTTTAATACAAGCTATGCGAAAATTAGCTGATCAAGGTAAAACAATTATTTGTACTATACATCAACCATCATCAGAAATATTCTTTTTATATGACAAGTATAGAAATTTTTTTATTCTTTTATACAAAAATAAAAACTTATTTACTTATTAATAGATTATATTTATTAGCTGAAGGTCGACTAGCATATTTTGGTTCACTTGAAAAAGCTCCAGCATTTTTTCGACAGTATGCATATATATACATATATAATGAAAAAAATTCTTTTCAATTGTTTACATTATACTAGATTCGGTTTGGAAATTCCACGTAATTATAATCCAGCTGATTTTTATATTCAACAACTTGCTATTTATCCAAAAACAAGTCAAAAAAATCTTACTCAAATTAAAGTAAAGTTTTTTTTTTAAAAACAAATTCCTATTGTGAACTATTCAATTAAATTTTAGCATATCTGTGATGGATATGAGAAGTCTTCAGAATATTCTCGTTATAAGTCAGAAATAAATTCTCTTCATTCAACATACACAGAAGATGATAATGATAATTTCTTTTTACGATTATTTAATCGATGTTGTTCAGAAGATGAACAAAATGATTTAAACGATAATGATATACAACATAAAAAAACATCTAGATATAAAACAAATAGTTTTACACAATTTCGTTGGTTATTATGGCGTAATTTTGTTAATATTTTTAAAAATCCATTTGAAATTCGACTTAATATTATACTTGCTCTTGTATGTTTTATAATAATTTATATCATATGTTTTGTTTTTGTTTTTTTGATTATGCTTATGATATTATCTATTTTTAGTTCATGGGTGTTCTTCTCGGTCTTTTATATAATCGTCTTAAGTATGATCAAACAGGTGTACAAAATTTTAATTCATTAATTTTTTTAACGATTATTAACACATCATTTCTAAATATAGTTGCTATCACGCAAGTAAATATTTTAAAACTAATTTCAGAATACAAAAAAAAAATCAAGAATATTTGTTTTATTTTTTTTTTTGTAGAGTTATACTAAAGAATTTCCAATATTTTATAAAGAACATGATGATGCTGTTTATCGTATGACACCATATTATTTTGCAAAATTTATTACTGAAGTAAGAAAAATAATTCATTCTTTGAAATTAATAAAAATATAGAGAAATAATGAGAATAAATATTTGATTTATTTTTTTTACCATAGCTTCCTTTTTTTCTATTAACAACTTTCATTCAAGTAACAATCACATATTGGATAACAAATTTATATGCATCAGCAAAACGATATTTTATATTTCTTGGAATAGTTACTTTAATAAGCTTTGCATCGGTTGGTCTTGGTTCAGTTTTGTCTGTTATTGCGGATACACCTGAACAAGCTCAAGCATTACAATCACCAATTCTTCTTCCATTGATGGTTTTTGGTGGATTCTTTTTAAATAATCAGTACGTTTGAATGTATTTTTAATAATATAAATTTTATGATTTTTGTTTTAGATCTGGTCAAAAATGGTTAACATGGCTTAAATATATTAGTTGGTTTTATTATGGTAATGAAGTATTACTCATAAATCAATGGGCTGATGTGAATAATTTACCATGTGAAGGTCTTGCGCCAGGACTTCCATGTTATCATAATGGAGATGAAGTTTTAAAATTAGTTGATTTTAATAAGGTAAAAAATAAAACGTAGTTTTAAAATCGAAATATGAAAATGTTGATATTATTGTTTTTTTTTCTTTCTTCTAGTCTCATTTTGGTTATGATATCGGTCTCATTGTTGTACTATGGTTTGCTTTACGTGTTATCAGTTATTTCATCTTATATTATAAATCAAAATTTCATAAATAGTATCCTTTCTTTTGTATTATTCTTGTTAATATTTAAATAAACTAATCTTAAAAATAGCGCTTTGTTTATCTATAAATTTATTGTGTTTTGTTTTTTTGATATTATTGTTAATTTTTGACTTTTATTTCGCTATATTTGACATGCTTAATGTATGTCTAGTTGGCGGTCGAAAATTTCCAATAAAAAATCCGAAAATAAACAAAATTCTCAATCAAATATAAAATCTATTCAAACAGATTATTCAACAAATATATCTGTATCACAACCAATTGATACAAGAAATTCTTTAAGTACAGCAATAACAATTGAAAGTAGTAATGTATCTAGTCCAAATAATGAAACATTACAATTATTAAAAAATCAACAGCAACAACAACAAACGTCAATAATAAAAGATCAAAATAATTCGATATCACAACTGTTACCGAAATTTTTTCATTTTGGTTCATCATTTACATCATTAACAAAAAAAAATGAACAACAAATACCTAATGTCAATTTATTTGAAACATCGATTGAACGAGAACAAATACTTGATCGAGAATTTCAATCACTTGATATTGATGCAGATGGTTATGTATCTATAGCTGATTTGCAATCTGTATTGAAGTGAGTAGATGCTTTTTTTTTTCTTCTTTAAATAAAAATACATCGGAATGAAGTCAACATTATAAGGATATTAGCAGAGCAACTAATTTTTAATCTACATAGACACGAATGGTTAGAGGATTCATGATCTTCATAGGACTAAACGATTTGTCGATCATATAACAGTCCTTGAAAAATGTTTGTCCTGGTATGATGAAAACTTCCTGACAAATACGATAGTTCAGTGTCACATTAGATTATACTGAAGTCCTTGAAACTTTCTGAAGTATCTGAATTACTTTTACTTGTATGTATATCAGTAATATATCTTCACCCTTTCTTCTTCTTCACTTCTTACATGTATTCTCTATCATATAACATTCTGTATCTAACGGTATTTAATTGTTGTATGGTGTTTAATTTTGCCTCATATTATTTCTTGTATACCTCTCATATTCTTTTTCATTCTATCATTCCTATTATTTTCTCATTAATATCTTTCTATTTATATGTAAATGTACACTCTATGTACTGAAAGATCTTCTTCTAAGCACTGGTTCTTCTCAATAAGTGAAAATAAAGAAAAACGATAGAATACTAAGAGAATACACTGTTAATAATAATTGATAGTTGTATAACTCAACAGCTAAATGAAAAATCTTTCATAGTTCTTATTTCTTTAAAATCACATTTTATTCAATCATAGAAAATTTAATTTTTATAACTTTCTAACTATTGAGACATAGACAGAAACTGAAGTTTCGACTGATATTGCAATTGACATATGAAAATAATTAACAGTACGATTGTATATTACGTGCGTATATTTTCATGACGTTATATTTCACCTTGATAAGCATTTGATAAAATAAATACAAAAATAAACAGAGTTAACGCCCAGTCGTGTTTGTTATATTTTTTCAGGAAGAAAACATCATGTACTTTTTGTAGGTAAATGCACATAGGTATGAATAATACTGGTTTTCCTTCTAGTTTTAATACGAAAAAAAAGATGTCCAATTGTTCAATTCTATGGAGAATAAAAAAGAAATTTGATTAAGTACTTGTTGTTTTTTTTTTATTTCAGAAATTTTTCACATATATGTAATTCGAATGAAGTAATGTTACGTATATTTAAAGAACTTGATATTAATGATGATAAACGAATATCAAAACAAGAATTTAAATTATATAAAAATATTTTATTAGAACGAGAAAAACATTTTAATCAAGCAACATTTGAAGAAAAATTAAGTTCAGTATTTGCTTTATTTGATCGTAATCAAGATAATTATATATCTCCTCATGAAATTCGTGAAACTATGCATAATTTAGGTGAAAATATTAATGATGATTTAATTAAAGAAATGATGCAAACAGCTGATATAGATCATGATGGTCGAATAAGTCGAGATGAATTTAAAAACCTTCTTAATCAATTACTTTCAAAAAAATAAAAAAACTATTGTTGTTTTTTTTTTTGTTATTTTATTTGACAATTGAGAAAAAAGAACAAATGATTTATGGATCTTTTGTTTTTGTTTTATACAACATGAAAATCTAAATAGATTTTATATTAAAAAACTTTTCGATCAATAATTGTTGTTCGCTTTCTTAGAATATCATCAATTGTTTCATCTTTTTGATAAAATTCTTTACGTAATTCATTTAATTGTGCTTCAATTATTTCTTTATTATTACTAGTAGTATTTAATGGTTTATATTCTTTTGTTGTTGTCTGTGGTAATAATTGAGTAGGCATAAATGTTGTTGAATTACTTGCATTTGCTGTTTCAATATCCATACCACGTAAACGTTCTTCTTGAAGTTCACGTTCTTTTTTATTTAATTCTTGTTGAGCTATTTGTACCTATAAAGAAAAAATCATATAATGAGTTAAGAAGCAAAAAAGATTTTTTTTTCTTCTGCTTCTTATTATTATTCTTACTTTAACACGATTAAATAATTCTTCAAGTAATCTCATTGATTCTAATTTTCGATGAGCAATTAACATTTTTCGTTCTTCTAATGCTATTTTCATTGCTAAAGTTTTTTCTTCATGTTGACGTTTACGTTCTAAACGTTTTACTCGACGTTTTTCTTCTCTAGAAAAAAGAAAATAAACAAATTTATTTAAAAGTTTATCAATGCAACCAATTAAGAGCTCAAATGTGTAACTCACATGTATTCTTTAACCTTATTATACTAATACAAAATATGAAAAGTGACAAATCTCTAACACACTAGATTTGTTTTCATCGGATAATCGATCGTCGGATAAACCATCTATCGTATTTAGTTTTACATTTCAAACAGAAATTTTTTGTGAAACATAATCTAAAGCGATGCTAGCCAGAGACCATCACAGATCTTATATCAAAAACGTCTCATTACAGTATATTGACTACTTTCTTATTGTATTTCTAAAGGATTAAGTAAAAATGGAGTGAAGAAATGTGTCTCAAGTTAGATAGAATAAAATAATCTTCATGTGATCAGCAACAACAGCTACATTGGGTTTCACATTTTAATCCTGCATGGACTGCGCTGTTTTTACTAGTGCTCTATTTTTTGTTTGCCTTGTTGATATTCGTTCGTTATTTTTATTTCTATTTTTTTTTGCATGCTGTTTTTCTTAATTTAACATTATTACTATTCTAACCATTGATTTAACTGGTAATTAAGTCTCCTGTACATATCTATTATATCTACAATATGTCGAAACGCACTATTATATATCTCGAGAAGCTCACAAACACTGATATTGATTATTTCTCAAAGTTATAACTTAATTAGTTTATATTTTAAATGTTGATCATATGATCATTGTGATAAATCAATACGTCACTGTCAATCTAGCATATAACTTATTATCTGTGCAAAAGTCAAACTGCACTATTTAGAACATTCATAAATGTATTCTAGAACAATCTAAATATAATTGTTAATGCCATTCAGTGCCTTTTTTTCCCGTTGCTAAAGAACTCTGAAAAATAAGTATGGAATCTATTGTCTTCGGTTGTTAAGATATAAAAGAAGGGAATTACAAAATTTCGACTTAAAACTTATACTCATTATTATCTTCGAAAATACATGTAAGTTGCACAAAAATTAAAAAAAAAAAACTTTTTATTTACCGTTGTCGACGTCGACTATCTTTAGTTATATCTTTACTTCCTGTTAAATCATCAGCTTCAGCATCTTGTAATTCAATTCTTAATCTAAAATTATGAATAAATATTCAAATGTTATTCTTTTATATGTAATTTTAAAATAAAAGTTTTATTTTACCGTTCAATTTCTTTTCGACGTTCATCTTCATCTTTAAGTCGTTGAGCTTCAGCGTGTTTTAATTTATTTAATTCCATTGCTTTCATTTGTTCAATACGACGTTTTTTAATCATTCGATCAGATAAATGTCTTGTTCGATCAAAATCAACCTATAAATTAATCTATTAACATATCTATATTTTTTTATTTCGAAATATTTTACTTTAATATTTGCTGTATGAGCAGTATTTGTATCATCAATTAACATTAATTTCATATTTCGACATGCATCCATTGCTTTAACAAATCCAATATATTCACTATATTGTACATAAGCATCAAATGTTGTATCTTGTGCTGATGGAACACTCGTGCCTAACGAACTATTTGGTCCACGAAATGGGTCAAGATATGGAATATCACAACAACGTATTTCACCAAATGTTGAAAATACTTGTTGAAGTATTTCAAGTGATGGTTTATTTTCTTTATCATCAATAGTAGCAGTTGTTGATGTTGAAGGTAGACCACTGGGACCAATAGCTGCTGCAGCAACTTGAACAGCTTGCATTGGAGTTTGTTTTGCCTAGAAAATAAAATAAAATATTAATTGAAACATTTTCGAGTTGGTGGTACATATGTTGTACCATCTATTTCTCAATAGAAAAAGAGAATATTTGTTCTACATTAAACTATTATGACCTATAAAGACTATAAGAATTATAAATTGTGTCATCTGCTATCAGATGCATACCTCTAGAGAAAGTGCTGAGTTTAGAATATCTATCTATGAACTCTGACAATTTTTAGCTGGGTACTCGACAAAGTATCCAACTACTAAGTTGTAGAGAGCTCCGTGTTCGTGTGTTTATGGATCCACAGCTTCATGCCAGTGTGTTCTAAAAACTTGGTTGGGTGCCCAAAGCGAACACTTATAAGTTTCTAAATGTCTTACATTAAAAATATTTTCATAGATTAGTTCCCTGAGTATTCAGAAATATTTTAAAACCAAACATTTAGGTACGAAACAAGTACTTAACTACTGAAAGATTGTTGAGATCTACGAATAACAGGATACTCAGCATGATAAAGGGAATATTCTGAATTCCGCATATATTCATTAAGCTATCTTCTCTCTCTTTCTTCCAGTCATAAGGTTTGAACTACATCATTTCAACCGAGATATAATAAAATAATCGACGAACTATTTTTCAATTGAAAAAACAATTTCAGTCTTCAAAACATTAAAAATTGAAACATTTCGATATATGTATAATATTTTTATATTCAATTAAATATTTTCTATTTCGATAATACAATAATTATTTCGAATAATTTAATTACCTGAAACCATCGTATTGGTAAACCTTCAATATGAATTGTATCTGCACGCTCACCTGGCTTTGTTTCATTCATACTTTTACTTTCACGAAAAAATGTTTCCCATTCTGTTCTTGTTGGATATGGTAATTTTGCATCAGCTGCACGTAAACGAAATTCATGTCCTGTTGATTCCATTCGAATAAGTGTATTATCCAAACGTGTTAAACAACTACGTGCTATTGATTTTGATTCTAATTCACCTTCAAAACGATATAATTCACCAGCACTTTTTAATAAACGTAAAAAAACAAAATCATCTGGTAAAATTAATTCACGTATTTTATCCATTATTTCCCATGTTGACATTGTGGAACCAGCAACACGCATTGTTGGTGGAATCGGTACACTTATATTAATACGTGCTATGGGTTTTAAATACATACGCTACAAAAAAAAAAGAATTCAAATTAATTATTTTCTTAAGAAAAATTTTCTTACTAATGCTTCACATAGATCAACTCGTTCACTTAAATCTTTACATTGTGTAATATTCGACATGATTATAATTAATCTGAAAGAAGAAGAAAAAAAACAATATAAATAAAAAAAAATTTTTTTTATAAATTATTTATTTGAATTTATTGGACGTGTAAAAAAGTCAAAAGTAAATCCTGTCACAATCGATGGAATTTGTTCTAATTTAAAATCAATTGATTGTTCAAAACCATTTTTAAGACCAAATAATAATTGTTTAGCAGCACGTCGTAAAATAGGATTTTCATCTTTAATTGCATCCTCAAGTTTTATCCATTTACAATCGAGTACTTCATTTCGATCAAAGTCTATTGTATCTGTTAAAGTCGATAAACGACAAATAAAATATATATCGGAACGACCATGTCCACCTAAATTACATAATCATTAAATAACAATGGACTCTTTTTTTTTTAATTTTTTATTGAAAAGCAAACCTGGATATCGATGTATTTGACGAAATCCAATAATTGATTCAAATTCTAATAAAGAAACAGTTTTGTAGGTATATTTTAACTAAGAACTCGATGATACATACTCGAGTGAATACCAGTTTCTTCAAATACTTCACGTATGGCGCCATCAGCTAAATGAAACGATAGTTTAAGTGCTTTGAAGAAGAAAAACAAAACAAGACAATCACACACGATGAGTAACAACGTGGACATTAGATGGAAAAAAATAAAAGTGAGCTTTTTAGAGATTTGAATTGTAACTTTTACAGTTCGATCAATGGCCAGATTTTTGATAAAAAAAATTTATTCCAACTGCTAAATTCATTAGAAAAACTTAATCACAAAAAAGTTCGAATTCCAGTACCTCTCGAGAAAAATATCATTTTTTTGTGAAAATTAACAAGAATTGGATAATCAATTACACATATAGTCTTAAACTATGATCTCAGCTATATCGGTTTATAAGAAAAGTTTTCGTTCTGACAAAATTATTATTCTTTTTACGCTAACTAGAAAACTATTGCAAATGACACCGGCTGTTTGAGCTTATATTAGACCTACGGACAGATTTCAGTGAAGGTAGCAAAAGCCAAAAAGATTTGTTCTCATGGATTTTTGTCGTCGAGTGATGTGTCACAAAAACCACAGTTTACTTGAAAATTCAATAAATCGACCAAGGAACATTCTTTTTGGCAGAAACTTTCAGGATATTCTGAGAGTAACAAAATTCTACTAATAGGAAAAATTTCGAATCAAAACTCCCCTATTCGGTCTTCCAGAGCGGAGTATCTAACATTGAATCAAAAATTCAGTAAATCGGTCATAACTCGGCGGCAAAGGCCAATAAGAACGAACTCCTTTGAGGCTTTTACTATTCTTACTGAGATCTGCCTGTGGGTCTAATATGAGGCCAAACGGCAGGTGTTATTGGAGTAGTACTCTCGTAAGTGGTTTTCGAAGAAACATCTTCAGTAAAGTTGCCCGCTACTTTTTTCCACTAATCTGATATCGACGAAACCTGCAGAGAATGTTCTTCTATATCTGAAATATACACTCAATTAGTGCAAAGATGTGCTAATGTTTCTGGACTGAGATACAAGTTTTCTAAAAATCTTGATTTTTAAAGGTTTGTCGCGATTTATTTACTATAAAAGAACTTTGAGAGCAAAATAAAGACATATTTGGAATCAACGTGAAAAACTGCATCGAATGATGTATCTATTTGTAAAATTTTAAAATAAAAAGTTGTCTTACAGAAGTTTAGAGTAAAGATCTCCTACAGGGATTCTTCGTCATTCTTATTTCTGAGTACAAGAATCTAATATTTCTATGGAAAAAAATTCATTTTTGACAGAAAATAAATCATATCCACGTGCCCAATAGAAATTGTCAATGATAAATTAATCTTACCAATATTTTCCGAAAGGTCAGTAGATCCTAGAAGACTTTAGACATGTTCATCATTGTCAATTTTTTGAAACACTCAAAATTGAAATGCTTACCTCCAGGTAACTAAAAAGAAAATAATTTAAATCTTTATTATCTCTTATCGGAGTTTCTTTTTTACTTTCCAAATTTCTCGATTTCCAATACGTTCTTTAATAATAAGTAACTCATTTGTTTTATTATGAAGAACAGCACCACCTACTCCAACTAGATAACAAAAACATTTAACCAATTAATAAATTCCGTCAAACATTTACCTTGATGACTAAAATATTATAAAACAAAAAATATTATTCAAATTCAAAAATCTATTCTTTTCTATATACGTAGCAAATCGTGGTATCATAGATTTTGTTGTTAATAACCATTGATTTAAAACAGCAGTTCTTTCTTCAGCATTATGATAAGCAAATCCTTAAAGAATAAAAATAAAAATTATTTTTTATAATTATATAAAATTATTTCTTTACCTAATTCAGCAGCAATTGGTATTACATGTGCTTGTTCAATTGGAATCCAAAGCCAAGCAGATGTACGTTTATCATTTCGCCATTGGTTAAGTGAAGCTAGAATATAAATATATACAGTAAAACCTCTATATGTGAACACCCCTCCTTAATGAACACCTCGCTATTACGAACGCTTCTAGCCGGTCCCAAAAATCGATTTTTGCTGGAAATAGACCTCTCCTTTATGAACACCTTCTTATTATGAACGCTTTTTACTGGTCCCGAAGGTGTTCAGATTAGAGAGGTTTTACTGTATATATATTTTTTTTTGACTATGCAAGACAAACTGAATACGAACTAGAAAGTGTTTCTCTAATGATTTTTGTATCATTTGGCCAATCTTGAATTCGAACTCGAGCAGCATTAAATCGATCGATTTCATGAGGTAATATACATACTTGTGAAAATAAACGATACGGTAAAATATTTAGTAATGGTCTAAACGCAAAAAGGGACATTGATAAATGAGCAGCAGTATTTACTATGAAAATCTAAAACAAAATGTTTTCTTATACTATGCTTAAATTAGCAAAGTGTATGTTTACATTCTCTTTTTTGTTGTATCAAAATGTAGGAAAATCCAAATTTATCACAATCTAAAAAATAAAAATAAAATAATATTCGTAGTCTTTTTTTTTTGCTAATAAGAAATCTAAATTGATACTTAGAAAACAAATAAACAACAAAGACGACATGTACAATTTCATCATCTGACATGTTTACAAACAAATAATCGAAGAAGACAAACATGAGTTTATATAACAAAACATAAATTAAGGATTTAGTTTATATGATCGTGTTACTATCATAGAAATATAATCTCTAATTTGATACTTAATGAATGTTTAAAAGTTTTTGAATCAAAATGTAAATTTCTTCAGTATCATCTTGTTCTTCTGAGCAATAAAATAAAATAGTATATACATCAAAAGCAACAAATATTCTGTATATTTTATTTCAGCTTGACGTCAACACATAGATGAATTACAATATTCTTCTACTTACGGTATTCGTCTGTTTTAGAACGAAGTATAATTCAATAAGCAGATGTCACTTGAAAAAGTTCGATATAGCGCATTAGTGTTTCATTAAAACAAAATTGTAGAGAAAAAGTATTGAAATATGATATATTTATTTTTAAATATATTTCTCTTAGTTATCTTTAAACCAATCAATATTAAATAATCTATGTTTGTTTATTCATTATTTTAAAATAGTTCTCTTCTCATTTGACTACTGTTAGTTCTTTTCTCTTTCTTGAATGTCATCATCAATCAACTTGCCTCTTCTTTTCTTTTTCCTTGTATTATAGAAACTTCTTTTCGACAAATTACTTATATTTAAATTAATTCTACATCTGTCAAAAAAACAAAAATCTCCTCTATTTAGGTGTAATTAAATTAATGACCACAACACCGGGACCTATTGGTCCTCATAGTCGTAAAAAAGTTTCTTATTATTATGATTATGATGTAGGAAATTATTATTATGGGTAGATAATTAAATAAAATTTAATTTTTTAATAAAAAAGGAAATCACATTCTTTTTTTCTTAATTAGACAAGGTCATCCAATGAAACCTCATCGTATACGTATGGCACATAATTTAATTCTTAATTATGGTCTTTATCGTAAAATGGAAGTTTATGTATGTATATAAATTAAAAATTAATTTAAAAAAAAAAAGAATTTTTTTTTTCGTTATTTAGCGTCCACACAAAGCAGTAGCTGAAGAAATGACACGTTTTCACAGTGATGAATATGTGAAATTTATACAAAATGTTCGACCGGATAATATTATGGAGTTTAATAAACAAATGCAACGATGTATATTTATTTTTATTTTATTGATAACTAATAATGTAGATGAATTAGAAAATAATTCAATAAAAAAAAAAATATTAATATATCAAGGTGTACTTTCATGCATATACAAAATGAATCAACCAATAGAAATAAAATAGTGTCTTTGTGTAACTCGTCAAGAACATCATTTGAGGAAAAAATTCTAAATTATTTTCTAATTCATCTACAACATATTGCTTTTTGTTTTTGTTGGCTAATTGTTGAATAAGTAATATTTATTTTAAATTTTAGTTAATGTTGGAGAAGATTGTCCTGTATTTGAAGGTGTTTATGAATTTTGTCAAATATCAGCAGGTGGTTCATTAGCTGGTGCAGTTAAACTTAATCGAAAATTAACTGATATTGCTATTAATTGGGCTGGAGGTCTTCATCATGCAAAAAAATCTGAAGCATCTGGTTTTTGTTATATAAATGATATTGTTTTGGCTATACTTGAATTACTCAAGTAAGTTTATATTTAGAAAACAAAATGTAATTTTCTTTTCTTTTTTTTTTGTTCTTATTTTTTAAAGATATCATCAACGAGTACTTTATGTTGACATTGATGTTCATCATGGTGACGGTGTTGAAGAAGCATTTTATACAACAGATAGAGTAATGACGGTATCATTTCATAAATTTGGAGAATATTTTCCAGGCACCGGTGATCTTCGAGTAAATTATTAATGAAAAAATAATAAAGAGTTTTTAATTTGTTTTTTTTTTATTATTAAGGATATTGGTGCTGGTCGTGGTAAATATTATGCTGTTAATTTTCCACTTCGTGATGGAATTGATGATGATACATATGAAACAATTTTTAAACCGGTGATGACTAAAGTTATGGAAACATATCAACCAAATGCAGTTGTACTTCAATGTGGTGCTGATTCACTTACTGGAGATCGTCTTGGTTGTTTTAATTTAACACTTAAAGGTTGTTTGTTGTTTTCTTTAATTTATAAATAAGGGTTTAACTTTTTCAGAACGGGAGACAGGGATGGCCCGAGTCAACCAACAATGGGGGGGTGTCGCGAAATTTTTTGCAGTAAAAGGTGGAATTTTTTAATTTTGGGGGGGTGTAACATTATTTTTCATGACAAATGGAAGAAAATTTTTTGATTTTGCTGAGCAAAAAATAGAATTTTTCTAAGATTGGGGGGGTGTTCCACCCCCGACACCCCCTCGGTCGGGCCACCCCTGACGGGAGACATATTTAGATGTTTCTCGTTCTGGAAGAATTCAAATCTATTGATGTGACGAGCGGACATACATATGCACCGTACTAATCTTTGAAAGGTCAATAGTGCTGATTAATTCACTTTATTTAATTCTATGTTGTATTATTTTACTTCGAAGAAAAAAAAAAGAATCCCATCTTGAAAAAGTTAATAAGCAATGTGTTTATTTTGTAATTTTAGGACATGGTAAATGTGTAGAATTTATTAAAGGTTTTAATTTACCAATATTACTGCTCGGTGGTGGAGGTTATACAATTCGAAATGTTGCACGTGCTTGGACAAATGAAACAGCTATTGCACTTAATCAAGAAATTTCAAATGGTAAGGAAGATTTTTTTTGTTTTTTGTAGTTCTATTTCAATGATTTAAATATATATTTGTTTATAGAATTACCTTATAATGATTATTTTGAATATTATGGACCAGATTTTAAATTAAATATTAGTCCGTCAAATATGCCAAATCAAAATAATACAGAATATTTAGATAAAATCAAGTAAATATTTAATGAGAAAGAAAATTTCTTTATGTTTGTTTTTTCAATAATTATAAATATTATTATTGAATAGAATTAAACTTTTTGACAATCTTCGAATGTTACCTCATGTACCTGGTGTTCAAATGCAACGTAAATTTTATTTGAGACACAAAAAAAAAACATATTTCTAAATAAATTTATTTTCTAGTTATTCCTGATGATATCATGGATGTTGATCGAGTTGTTGATGAAGATAAAGATAGTGATCCTAATAAAGTAAAATAAATATAGAAGCAAGAAAAAAAAAAATTTATTCATTTAATTAATTAATTTAGCGTATTTCACAAATACAAAGTGATCGTCGTATTGTTGATGAACGTGAATTATCTGATTCCGAAGATGAAGATGGTGATAAACGACGTAATCAATCAAATGCAAAACAAATTTCTAATACACATAAAACAAATTTAGAATCAATTAATGGTATTCAATATTATATATATTTTTTTATTTTGAATTTATTTTTTGAAAAAGGTACATCAATAAATGGTAATGAAATAATCTTACCATCTAATACAATTGTTACTCAAGACACAAAGATAATTGAATCAACTACTATTGTTTCATCTACAAATGATAAAACATCTGAAAATAAACTAACAGATGAAACAACAGAATCTATTAGATCATCTGAAGGAGATACAATTGTAACAACAATAAACGAAGAAACAACAACAACAACAACAACAGCAGCTGTACTTGATGAAAATCAACCATCTACGATTATTGCAGATGATAATATACCAAAAGAAGCTCTTACTGCACCACTTACAGATGGCATGGATACATCAGAGTATGATTTTTTTTTTTAATAATTTTTTTGAATTGATTATTTTTTTTTAGAACCTCCTAAAAAAGATGATTATTTTGTCCTTTTACAAGAATAACAATAAGTCTCACCAAATTGAAATGTTTGTTTTAGAAGATTTCAAAATCACATTTGCTTGTTGTATCTGTATGCATTTTGATTTCTCTTTCTCTTTTCAATTTTTTTTTTTTTTTGTTTGTTGAAATATGTTCTTCTAATTGTAAAGAAACAAAAACAAGCCAAGAAATCTCTTATTCGTATTCTACATATTTGTGCGTATAGCTGTTTTCTACTGTGGTGTAAATCAAGTTCAACTTTGTCTTCTTATTTTCTTTCTTTTCTTTTATGTTTGCAAAACTAAAAAAAAAAATCAATTTGTGTTTGTGTGTTGATGTAATAAGAAAAATAAAAAGATATATCGTTCAATATTAGTTGTTCAATTCATTTTTCAGCTTTTCGTATTTGATTTTGATATCTATATATATATGATGGAAAAATGAACATCATATATGTAATTATGTGGACATTGTTATTTTAATTCAAGATATAGAATTATATATTGAAATCCTGAATTCATTAAGCATATTACAAGATTGTAATCATAGAAATTTTGTATACTAAAATGAATAGTGAACAAATTGCATTTTAGAATCAATAGGAATTCATTCAAGAAAATTTTTTTCTTCAGTGAATATGTGATAAAATTAAAAATAATATTTCTTACTATCAAAAAGTATTCAATCTTCTTATATGATATAATATCAATAGATGGATCAATATCAACTTTAATGTCATCGTACCATACAATGAAACACCTGCTAAACGAATATTATTATAGAGTTTCACTAATATTCTCACTTCATTCCAGTGTAACTTATCAGTAAACCGGAATTTCAACAATCTTTTTTTATTATGGAAATTTCGGTGAAGATTGAATATAAGTTCCAAAATTTCACACAATCCATCTATCATGTACCAAAATATCAACGTTGAGAGTTCAAGAATGTGACATTCATTAGATGCGCATCCACCTTCACTTTAAAAAAATGGTATATGCCCCTTTTCAGCTCTCAAAAACTTTCCTCACACCCTTCTCACTTTTTTCTGTTCACCATATCCATGCGAGAGTCGTTTTACATATTCAAAAAACTTGTGATAAGCATGGCAAAAGTGTTAAAGTAACGGAGACTGTTTGATATTCTGTATGAATGATAAATTTGTAATTTGATTCTTGTAGTAGATATGGCCTTCATTTTTACTCTTATCTTTTACTATATTTTCGATCATCTGTAATTTCTTGAATTTGTGACAATGTAGAATTTTCTATAGGCTAAAATTTTCTGCTATCTGGTTTTTTATTCATTCAAAATTTTTACTACAATCAACACAAGAAAACCGTTTGAAATTGAATGTTTCTAATCAATATAAATTTTTCTTTTTTTTTTTTTTTTTTTTTTTTTTATGATTACAATAATTATTTAAACTTTATTGATGTTGTCACTATATATGTATAATTATATTTGTATTTGTCAAATATCTCTTTGATATAGAATCTCGCCAATCAATTTATCTATAATCTAGACCGACTCGATTATATTATACTATCAGACATTTATAGCGTCCTTGTTTCCTCTTTCCTGAACTGATTATTTTTCATTGGTTACATATAAGCTGTTTTCTGAATGGTTAAATATACGATGTATTCGTACACATAAGCGATCCTTTCTTCTAGAAAAGGGGAAAATTTTTTGATTGATTACTACTTAATCTGATTCAAAATTATTTTATTCTATCATGTCACCATTGAAATCTAAAGATTATGATGTTGAAAAAATTCTTTCAAAACGAATTAATGGAAAAGGTCGAACATTTTACTTAATTAAATGGAAAGGTATATTTCAATGATTATCTTAGATATTTTCTTAGAATTTTTAATTTTTTAATTTTTTAAAGGTTATTCAACATCACATAATACATGGGAACCAAAAGATAATGTTACTAATTGTCAAGATTTAATTAAAGAATTTGAAGCTGAAGAAGAAAAGAAAAATAAATCAAAAAATTTAAATTCTAATGAATCTCAAGGTCAAATAAATATTCGATCAACTCGCTCGAGTGGTATATTGACACCAAAACAATCAACCAATAAAAATGAAAGATATACACGTCGTAGTAATCGTGATCTACCAACGCGTCAACATAATAAACGTGTATCTAGTTATGAAGGTATGTTTACTGATGATGAAGATGACGATGAAGAAGATGAAAATGATAATGGATTTATAGAAAAGAGATCGTCTAGATCAGCAACATCAAAACGATCACGTAAAAATACAACTGATACTGATGCAACATCTTCAATTGAAAGTTATGATAGTGGTGACATACTTGATATATCGAAACTAGATCAAATACTTGATGTTCGTCGAAATAAACAAAATAATATAGTTGAATATTATATTCAAGTAAAAAATAATAAAAAACCATTGTGGATGAATTCAAATCGTTTAACTGAAGATTATAGTCAACAAGTTGTTGATTTTCTTGAAGAAAAATTTGTTTAAAAGTTAAATAGAATAAAAATAAATAATACCATATATACATATATATATAAAATTTTCATGTTCAGTAGGATTTTGTGTTTTTTTTTTCCTTTATATTATATTATTCCCTATATATTGTGTTGTGATTGCGTGTATGTGTATAGATATATATATATATGTATGCATGTTCTATAAAAGGCATATTGCCTTAATCCACTATGTAACTCCGTTTATTTTCTGTCAAAGATCAGTCTTGATTTTTTTTCTCGTTTTTTTTCTATGTTTAATTCATGTTTAACTATTGAAATACATATATAGTTGATTTGATCGTTGTGAATATTCTTATTTTTCTATTCGAATATTAATCGATATCATAATATTTATCAGGTAAGAAGGAAACAAAAAAAACTAAACGAACATGTAAGCAATTTACCGTGACTAAAAGATTCGATTGAATTGAAATGTGTATATCAAAATAATAATGATAATAATAATTAGTTCATATAAAATTTTAAGTTCTTATCTTATATTTTCATTCTGATACTATATATCATTTTAAAATATGTTTTCAGGTGTTTTATTTAATCTCAATAGATTACAGTCCGAATAAACTACCGTGAAATAGATTTAATTGACGCATTGATTGATATCTATAATTTATCATAATCAGATAAAATAAACAAGAAAATCTAAGAATACTTGTCATCGTACTATTTGCATTTTATTGAATAATTCGTAATTATATTATCATCAGTCCAGATAGCATGACAAGAGTTAACGACTATACTTTCATCCATAGGTGGTGCACTAGCAAGCAAAGGGATAACAATTTCTTTTCCTCAAAATTTGGAAAAGCAATGAAAATTTTTCATGTTTTCTTGCTATACTCAAGTAAAAATATATAATTCGAGATACATATTTAATACGACTTTGCAGTTAGAATAGGAAAGAAAAACGAGTTGAATTTATCAGCGTCAACCATGATTTTCGTTTCATATAATTTTCATTTATCACTTACATCCAAGAGTACATTATTAAAAACTTTATGAACCATACATACTAATCTACTTGAATGTGTAAAAGTTTTTCATGGTGAAGAAGAATCAAAATGTATATTAGAAATACAACTGATCAAGGACGTTTAACATTCTCTCAGTATTAAGAAACGAAGAGAAAGAAACTTAGCAGCATTCCCAGTGTGAAAGTGAAAGAAGATAGTGCGTGAAGTAGATCGAGAAGATGTCATTGAACTATCCAACTGAATAATATTGTTAACTACAACACTATATAAGGTACTGATTTTAAAGGAATGGTTCACAAAAACGTGTTGAAATACCTTTTGGAAATTACAAATCATTGCGTCTATGTTATTTGTCTATATTTTTTGAACTTTTGATAAACAACTGACTTAAGTTTGTACTTGATTCTGTTTCCATTCACGAGAGCTATGTAGGATTATACTCAAAAAGGAGATGTGTTAGGTGATAACATCAATGATTAAATAAACAGTGTGAATAATAAGATCGTAATATTGTGTACTGATTCTTATATTTATAATATCTTCAAAAAGAAATAGCTATTAAAATGTTAGACAATCTTTTGCACAAATTTTACATTGAAAATCTAATGATCAGTGACTGGAAGGCAATCACAAAAAAGAAATTAAAGTTCGCTAACTCGTTTTTAATAAATCTATTTTCAATAGAAAGCACTTCACTATTTAAAAGTTCGTAATATGTTATCAGTTGAATTAATACGGAAATCTTCAGTATTTTCTTTGAGAAATTAACTTCGAGAAAAAATATCTTTTATTGTCAGACTATTCACTAAAGAGTATAAAGACTTCTACTCTTCTCCATCAAAAATGTCCGACTTTCTGCGAAAATTTATAACACCTTCTATCAATGTTTTACATCAGCTGGATAATTTTGAACAGAAAAAGAATCTTAAAACACCATTTGCTTTTTTTTCTGTAGAAAGCAAATTCAAAATAAGCAGACACTGTTAGTGTGCGACGAAAATAAATGATTGGGCACACCGACTGTGACGGAGGCAGGTAGAAGGGGGGCGTGACCTGGTTACAGGTGATTCGTGTTCGCCCCCGTAACACCCTAATTCGTCTCAGGTAAAAAATTTCGACACTCCTGAAATGACACTATTTTCTGTCAAAGTTTAAATACCCTACTCTTAGAAAAAAAGACAAATTTGGTGGAGTGATAGACAATTTCATTTTAAAGTTTATTACTTCCCCTAAAAAATTGAGCTTGCGCCGTCCATGCTTCCAACCCTTATTTATTATCTTTTTTTTTGTTGTGACTAGCGAGGCAATATAAAATCATTAAAATAGAGGTTGCACATTTTCAGTCTTAATAAAACAACCAAATGTGGATCACTTTTATAGAATATATTGTAGGAAATGATTTGTATTTCGAAGTTTTGATTATCGAAAGTTTGTATTTATGCAAAATAAGTATAATACTCGGAATCAGAATGTAAAAATATTTTCTTTTTTTTTTTTTTTTCTCATAACATATTTTCCATTAAAATTTTCAGCCATACCATATTCCATCAATTTTTTTCTGTAGATTCTGTACAGATAAAACTTTAATGTAAAATATGTTATGATGAAAAAACAAAGAATTTTTTTCATTCTGATTCCGAATAACATGCACATTCTGTATAATGACAAATTTTTGATAATCAAAATCTCGAAATACATCCGTTTTTTTTTATAATATTTTCTAAGAGAAGTGATTTCTGTTGAATTCTTTTGCTAAGATTCAAAATGTTCAAAGTCTGTTTTAATACTTTCATATAGCCTCGCTAGTCACAACAAGAAAAGTATAACCATTGAAAAAAGTGTCAAGTTCTTTGGTTTTTATAAAACTTAAATTTCAATGACTTTAAATATGATAAACATTTTCCTTTTTGATCCAAAATAAGAATCATCATAATCGTGTTTAACAAATAACAAAAAAAAATAGAGAACACCGTATGAACCAAAAGAAAGAAAGAAATCACGATGAACAAAAGGAGAATGACAATTATCTGAGCTCTCTATTGCCAATTATAATGTTTATAACCGGTTTCACAATAAAATACAGTCGAGATAGAAATAAACCAATGTTTATTATTCCATCTCTTCAGTTTGATCATTTTTGTCGTTGTCATCTAAAAAATAAATATAAAAATTTCAAATATATAATATATTCAATTAAATTCAATAGATAATAACATTAGTATTCATTGCCTGTCATCTTATCCTTTATTTGATGATAAAATTGATTACACATATATGATTATTAGACAAAAAAATACTTATAAAAAGAAATCTATTAACAAATTCGGAATATATTTCTAATCTTTAATCCTTTGAGAACTGACTTTTTTCTTTTACATAAAAAAAGTTAGATTTTCATTTACAAAATCAATTATAGAAATCATAATTTTTTCATGCAGACTTAATATAAAAGATGCATGATATTTATTTTGAAACAATAGAAACAAAACACATATCCAAGAAGTATAACAGCAATTCAATAACATATAAGGAGAGAACTTAATGCAAAAAAGAACCTAAAATGTTGTATAGTTTGAAATTCCTTGAAACAATCAACAATACAAAAACCTACATTACAATCTTTAAACGCATAACATGAATCAGTCCTTTTTCTAGATTTTCGACTAATGTGTAGAACTCGTCGGGTTGGTCTCGAATCTGGATCTGAGTATAAAAATTTTATATCCGATGGTCTTTACTAGTGTGTGTGTGCATAAAACAGAAATCTTCTATGACATTTTTCTATTTGTTGTTTGAAGTACAAGAGATGGAGAGTGTCGAGCAGTAAGTCTACTTGGTTAATAAGGTAATGCAGGACGACCTATTGCAGATTTTGGGACACTAGAAGTTTTTTTTCCGCTATTGAGTTTATAATGCAAATATGCAATGAACAATGATGAACTACACTGACGAGAGAAAGTTTCTAAGTAATAAATCGCTATTAAGCTGGAACTATATTCAATCGATAGGGTCTAATGAGCAAGTAAATACTCAAGAGTGATTTGAGTTGCTGAGATTTTGAATGTGTAGTGAACTTTGCGTGTGAACCCCTAGATTTCAAGAGAAATTATACTTTTGAAATTTTCAACTGAAACTTTGTCTACATAAAAGCATTGATTAGATAAAAGCCAATCTAATCGGTGCCTTGATGTGGGCAAAGCTTCAGATCAAAACTCAAAAGTATGTTTTGGCTTGAAAACTGAAGGTCTACACACAAAGTTCACTAAATATTCGAAATCTCAGCAGCTTGGACCACTCTAGGGTATTTATCTATTCACTAGGCTCTATCAATTGAATATAGTTCCAACTGAAAAACAATTTATCACTTGAGAACCTTTTTTCGTGACACAAATACATGTATACTATACTTAGACTATTTCATAACGTCTACATGTGTAACATGTAAATTAGAATAAAATCCATACTAAAAATCTCAATTTTAGTACACCTAAAGGTTTCTTCCTTTAGTTAAATTTGGCAACTATATATATATACGGACTTGATTTCCAAAGGATTAAATTTTATATTTTAGTATACATAAAATTCTACATTTTTGTTTCTTAATTCTCAGAAAAACGAAAGATGAATAAAGAGCATTTTTATGAAATTGAACACTCATAAACGATTTTGAAAAAAAACTCTTTCATCTATTCAGTTCAATAAATTATAATTATCTTGAGAAATTTTATGAACTTCTATTGGTTTTTTTTATTCTACTTAAACTTTTATTAAATACATTACCTTGATCATCATGTTGACCTCGTCTACGAACACCAAAATGTGAACCTCGTGATGCTTGATTTGTTGATGCAAAATATGCATTATATCCATAAGGATCCTCATCTTCATTATGTCCATTACCATTTTCATTGTTTTCATCTTCATTTCCATAATCAATATCTATATATTAAATAAAAGTATAGATTAGTTATATAATACAAAAAAAAACTGATTTACCAGA